AAACTGCATTTTTGAACGTCCGTAATTTTATTTACAAAGTAGTGAGGCTATATTTAAATCACTAAAGACACTCTCGCCAATCCAGTAAATACATTAAAATGACTTGGATCTTGATAGGTACTCTGGTTTTCACGGAGAAGATTGCGTAAAATGCCATCTTGAGTGTTACAGACAAAGGGAAAGACAGACAGACAGACAGACAGACAGACAGACAGAAATAGAGATAAGACTCGTTTCTGCTTCTTTAATGTATAAAACGTAAAAATAACCTAAAAGTATATAATTCTGAGCAAAGTACAGACAAAACTCTAATTTTATTTATATAGATGAATATGAGGACCTAATCAAGCGTTACCTGGCATAACTATACATTAAAATTGTCTACAGCAGATCAATAAGAAAGATGAGTCTACAAGGAAGAATGTTTAATCAATGATTTTCTGCTTTGGGTATAAAATAAATAGCTTTACGGTAAGATCAAGTGTTACCTTTTTGATGACGGCCCTGGTACGTTAATTAAAGCACAGTCAATTGGTTGTCGAACACTTAGATTTGGCGTTTAGTGTAACCAAATTTACAGCTGATGAGCTGGCGAGCACGTTCTCAAGTTCTTTAGCCTACCACGTAGTTTTCAACTGAGTTAAATTATTTAACCTCTGTGCTTGTTGTATTATAGCGTTGGCGTTTATTTGTTACCTATTGTGTACGTGTGTGTAATGTACTCTGTTATAATTAACTATCTGATGAAATTGTTGGCGAGATGATGACCAAAAGCGTCACTTCTGTAACGTCAGAAAATAGTTCCTGAACGTAATGTGTAATGTGTGTGTAATGTGACGTTTGGATACAAATTACACACTCAATTTCAGATACATGTTTTCATCCCGTGTAATTTATTCATGTATATATTATAACTGAATTTGTTACATCAAGTTTATCTTTAGTGAATGTTGTCTTTATTTGTAATCTATCTCGCTAAATCTCCCTTCTGTCGATAACGTGCCCATTGTACTCCAGTAGTAGGCGGAACTATCTAGTGAGTGTTGGCTCAATCGTCAAGTTTTGAAACGAGATCCGGCACCAAGTGGACCAAAACAAAACAAGAGTTGCGCGCGCGCACCAACGCGCTTTCAGAACGCTATACGGCTACAGCCCAGTGGGTGGAAGACATGTGGGTATACGTCTATAGTATATAGTACACGCGTAAGGGAAATGATAGGTTTTAATTATTTTTACATATTTTACTATAGTTATTATTAACAAAATTGGTCAACTGTGAATATAAAATAGTTATTGAAGCTAGAGTACTAAGTTTTGCAGTTTATACCTACTTTATATGTCTCGTAGTTAACGACGAAAACTTCAAATAAATGTATGCAATGACTGAATTATAATAAATTTATAATTTTATGCATTGACTAGGCAATTTCGTTTTTAAGCTGTTTTTTCTAATCATAAACCTACACAAGTTTAAGTAATATTACCAAGTGCATTCGTTCGGTACTATTTCTTACTTTTAAAACAGTCGATAAGAGAATCGAGACAGTGGACGTAGATGAGTGTTAACAATGCGAAGACAGTGTGTTCTATTGCTGACTTGTCTCGCCACCTGTTGTGCGTCTAAGGAGGAATGGAGAATTGGTAAGAATATATTGTTATTGTTTATTTAAATCAACAACTGTGTTTGCTTTATTATTGTTGTTCACCTAACTATCTTTACTTGTATACTAAAACAAGAATAATCATTAATATAAAAATACCATTAATTTAGTTATTTTAATAGTTTACAAGGAAAAACTATATATAATAAAGTAATAAAGATTGTATTTTCATTTTTTTACAAATCATACTTTAAACGATTTTTGTCCCTTATAAAGAGCTATTTATAATGAACATATTGAAACGGGACATTTGATCTCTTTCGCTTCAAAAATGAATAGTTCCCAGCTGTATGGCAACAATAATAAATTTGTATTTGATCAGTGTAAAACCAGACTAAAAAGTGTTGTTCATGTGTTGGACCTGAGCTACAGATTTCTTTAAATGATTGATCAAATCTTTGGCAAGACTTGATGAACAAGTGATTGCTTCCTGCCAATTTTTTGTTAAATATTTTACTTATTGTTCTTATATTCTTATGAACAGATTGTAAAATAAACTCTGATACAAAAAAATATTACTGGGCAATATGGTATTTTCAATGGTATAGGCCTACTCGTGAGTTTAGATTGTCTACAAATCTTCCTACTGGCGTCTTATGACATCACTCTATTTAAAAACCCCTTCGACTGTGTTGTTGAAGTTTCATTGTTTTTAGACTCTTTTAAGCCGGGTTTAGCTAGACGCGGAAGCGGAGCGCGGAGAGGAACGCGGAGAGCGGACTCCTCTTGCCTTAGGTAATTTATTTAATGTTAGTGTTGTCCTAGAAGCGGAGCGGAATGCCATGTTAATCGCTCTTCCGCTCTCCGCCCTCCGCTCTCCGCGCTCCTCTTCCGCACCTAGGAAAACTCGGCTTTAGGATTAAATTTAAAACTCAAATTAGGATTCTCTGTAGAGTATTTATTTTGCAGTTTGAAAGGCACGGGCACGATAATTCACAGTGTTATTGCATCTTCAAACAACTTATTTATTTATGACGATGCTTAAATTCTCTAGTTTTGTGAACCACCTGTGAAACATTTATAAACTACTGTCTCTTTTAGCATCGATTGATTTAAACTATCATATCAATAAGGTTACTTAAATTAAATAAAACAAAATACTTTTACCTACGACCGTTTTTTAAATTAGCCGTTTCAGTTCAGTCCTTAGAATTGAAAAGTTTCACATAACAGCATTGTTTACTTAAAAGCATAGTTTTACTCATAACAACACGGATAACGGACCAATGAGGTTCGAGGATTGAGAGAGAAGAAGTGAAATTTTTATGATTCGAACTTCAAATAATCAGCTATTTTGGCCAATTTAATTTTTGAGTGGTGCTATTAGTTTTTGGTACAATGTTTGTTGCATCACTGTCATTGGTAATGAGAGGTTTAGACGAAAATATAACCTCTTTTGGACGTTATGAGTAGTGATTTTTAGTAATTAAATCACTGTCGTATGTAAAGTAGTGTACGCAACTCGCGTAAATAGTGTTAAAACACTCGTAGATAGTTTTAAGTCACTCACCAAGGCTCGTACCTTAAATTTTCTGCTCGTGTCGTTAACACTATTTTTATGAAATAGTTGCGTAAACTACTTTGGTTATTGATTTAAGCATATTTTTATTAAATTTATAAAATAATAATATTTAATTTAAGCAAGTTTTATTCTACAAACTCGAGCGTATTATCCAACTCAAACTTCAAAAATTCTAAAATACTTTAAAACTCGCTTCATAGGAACAATTCCACAAAGTAACTGAGCGAACAAAAGACGGCAAAAGAAAGTTTTAGCCCAAGTTTATTATAAGCTCGTGACACTTTGAGTTTGGAGAATCCAAATGGCCCAAGGAGATCTGCCAAGAGAAGCCATAAAACAACACTCTTCCCCTAAATATAAACCGCTTTATACCTTGTTTACACCCCGAGTGTGATGTTAGTGATTGCTAAGTATAAATTACTCCAGACCATAACACTTCAACATGCAACTGCCATAAGGAAAAAAAGATTCTTCGCAACTGCTTTAATTATACAAAAATTAAAATTGCTAATTTGATTTGTTAAATACACACCTTGAAACATGCCTAACCTTGAAGAGAACCCCCCCCCCCCCCCGAAGACCAGCTAAATCCCTTTAAAAGTTACCCTAGTGTTACATAGAGTTACCGCTCATGCAACTCTAACGTAATGTTGACATTACAAATCCTTCATAGATTTACAAAAACATGTGAGGATTTTTTTTCTTAAACGTTTTGTCCAAAGATTGGTCCTCGGAGAGCGTGCTCAAAGGTAACATAAAACGTAATAAATTAAGTCTTTGTTTACAAAAGTAGAATAACACACCCCCACTGCAAACTACAAAATTATTGTTCATTTTGAAGGTGGGCTGTTCGAAGAAGACGCAAGCTTCTCACAGCAAGCCTTCATTTATGCGACAGACTGGGCCAATGAGAGGGAAGACTTGCCGCAGTTCGCCCTAGCAGCCGACATCACACAGGTGGATTACTTTGACAGCTATCAAATATCTCTAAAAGGTATTATAAAAAATATCAGTTACTCTTTGACCTCTTGCTATTTTGATTGAAATAAACTGAAAAACTGTGTTTTCTACCGAAATTCCATTGAGTTAATTTTTAGAAAGGAAATATTATTTATTTTTATCGGGTAAAGTTATTGCCATAATAGCCTTTCTTACACAACTTGTGTAGCTTCATCATTGACTTTGACATAAGATATAAATCAATTTGGACTTTTTATTTTCAACGACTACAACTATGTTTTCCGAAAATGAAACTATCTAAAAAATGAAGTGTTAGGTTAGAACCAAGCTTAAAACTTCAATAATCGTGTAGTGTCACCTAAAAATTACCTACATAAATATAAACTGGCAGTCGAATAACGGAAAAGGTACAAAGGTATAATCGTTAAAATATAGTTATTTGTGTAACTAGTGGTGAAAGTGGCACTTTGCTGCACACGAGAGCAATGTTTACGCACGAGCCGCAGGCGAGTGCAGCAAAGGCCTTTTTCACTCGTGTTACACATTATATTTTTCCTACAGTCACTATAAAGCATATAAATAATTAGTCTTTCAAACACTATACAACACGTTTTTAGGTTCAGCTGGCAACACAAATGGTGCCCTAGAGAAAGTAGTACCCGCGGTCCGTATCACTCCGCTATTTTTCCTCGGCAAAAAATGTGCTCCGCGTTTTGAGAATATAGTTCCGTATGTTTTTGTAATTTGAAATGGTTTCCGCGCCTAAAAAAATGCTTTAAAGGTATTTTCTTGTTTATTAAGATCGTAGGAATGTTTTAAAAACGTTTAAAAGAAAAGTCCAGAAAGTTCAGAAATACCGAAACTATAAACACGAAATGACAGGTTAAACCGTAGTTATAATAGTCAATCAGCTGCTCATAGTATTATCATTGACTATAAATCCTTAAGGATTTATAGTCAATGGTATTATTATCTTTAAGTGTTGCCAACCTATTTCCAAGCGTACACGGATTACGTGCATAATAGAACCACGCTGTTTTGTGTTGTTTCGTTGGAATCCTGATGTGCGGCAAAGTATAAACCGTACGGCAAAGTATAAACCGTACGGCAAAGTATAAACCGTACGGCAAAGTATAAACCGTACGGCAAAGTATAAATATGCAGCAATTAGCAGCTTTCTGTACTATAAACAGTACAAGGAAGCCAACTTTGTCGGGTGACTGTAGGAAATAGTATATTACGTCACTAGTCCTGAAAATAAGTGTTTACCGGACGAGTGTGGTCGTTCCCGTGCGAGACGAAGTCGAGTACGGGATTACCATACGAGTCCGGTAAACACATTTTGGACGAGTTACGTACGATAGTTTACGCCATACTACTAAATCTCTACAAATCCTTATATATTACCACCAATTAAAGGACTAAAAATCACTAGTCATAACCTCTAAGCGAGGTTATGTTTTTGTCTACAACCACTCATTGCCAACAAAATACAGTATAATCAGCTGATTGGGAGTGTAGGACTTTCGGCCTGGGGTGATTATGAGAAACTTACCCTCCGCAACAAACAATAGGGAACGTGGGTAGCTCTGAGTCTGCTGTCCCCAAAAGATTCCCTATAGGTAAATTGAAAAGATTTTGTGGGTAAGAGGGAAGTAGGGAAGGGGTGATATGGAGTGTTTGACACAGCAAGCTGGCCAAAAACTATGAATAGGATTAGGTACGGTACTTCCAAGAAGGACCTGAGCCCCAGAGCACTCCAGAGCAAGAGCAGGTATTAGATGGATTTAAATCTAAGTTTGGGCTAGTTTAATTACAAACACCGTGCTAAAAGTTGTATATTTAAACAGTTGTTAACCAATTTTAACGACGATTTGACGACATATGTGTCACCTCAGTTCAAGATACAAAAACAGTGGATATGTATAAATTGTCCATCATAATATTAGTTATAGATATTATAGTTTTGTATATACATTATAGCTTTTATAGATAGGCTACTGCAGAAGGTGGGGCCACCATCCGCCTATTGTCACTATAGCTTTCATAAATCACAAACGTTGACGAATTAGTCTCACTTAATATGATTTCAAGGCTTGTTTACATAAGAATCCATCCACTCAATAGTACAAAAATATTATCCATACAACAGTATATTATATTATTACAGTGATACAATCAAATTTTATGTAAACGGTTAAGGCCATTTACCAAATAAAAATATAGGCATATGGCATATCAAAATGAAGCTTAGAGTGTGTAGATTTTGCCGAAAAGTATTGATATGGACGAACTCGCTAAGGGCTCTGCCCCACAGGCTGATTTTCAAAAGGCTACGCCTTGCATGTTTTGGAAGTTATTATTTGATTAATTTAGTGAACAACAGCTGGCCAATGCAATCGACAATATAGTTTGTTTGTTTACATTTTTGTTTACTTATTTTATTATTTACTTTTACGCCACATTATTTTGACGAACTTCCCACGCAAGGATTTAGTCCAGAAAACAGCTGTTTGCCGCCAGCTTATTCAAATGGGGTTTCATTGCGTAATACTGTTCTGCAATGAGTTTTACCGGACACCAATCAGCTGATTATACTGTATTTGCGTGGCAATGATTGGTTATAAACAAAAACATAACCTCTCTTAGAGGTTATGACTGGTGATGTTTAGTCCTTTAGTTGGTGGAAATATATAAGGATTTGTACGAATTAAGTAGTATGGCGTAAACTATCGTACGTAACTCGTCCAAAATGTGTTTACCGGACTCGTATGGTAATCCCGTACTCGACTTCGTCTCGCACGGGAACGACCACACTCGTCCGGTAAACACTTATTTTCAGGACTAGTAACGTAATATACTATTACGTTCTTAAAAGAGTCGCGGTGAATGGACAGTGAAGCTATTTATAGCTGTTTGTTACAAGTGAGTAACTAAAGGTATTCGAACCATAATGACTATAAGATGAACAAACCATGTATGTTGTTCGTTCCAAGAGGTTGTCACCGATCTTTAACAGATCGCAATTTCATTGAAAAGTATTAAAGATGTCGTGAGAGAGAGCTGCGTGTTCAGGTACAACCTCGGCCAACCTTAGGACGTAAGGTATGAAGGTTCCACTGCCTTTAACATCCTTTCACATAAAAATTTCTCGAACTTGGGCCCTTTAAATGAAATATAAAGTCAAAGTTGATTAAATTAATTTAATGGTGGTTTCTGTTCACCCGTGAATTCACGGGTAGAACCTCTTGTTTCAGTTTATAGTGTGAATTGTAGTTTAACAGCTGAATGTACATTCGTAGTACATTCATTCAGATAATTTAAACAAGAGACGTAGTATAAAAATAATGATAGGCCTACTTTAATTAAATTACAGTCCGGTGTAAGGTAAACAAAAAACTGCAGTGTTTAAAATAATGTTTACCTAAAAAAACTTCTGGTAGTGTCCTATTTACAAGCAAATACAAAGTGAAAGTAAATAACAATTTATTTTGTAAAAACCAGATAAACACTAAGTATAAAATACGAAATTAAAAACTAAACCAATGTAACAAGAGACAAGTATGTTATAAAAATGCGTTTAAAATATAATCCTATATATTAATTAACAGTCTGGTGTATTGGTACATCAAAATATTAAAATTAAACTTGTAACTGCAGTGTTTAAATGATCAATTACTACAAAAAGGCTTCTAGTGATGTAGATATTTACAATCAATAAAAGAAATTTACAGTTTGTTATATACAAAATCAGAAAATTCAGTTGGATGGAATTAAATGCCCCTATGCATTTCATTCAACAATTAATTAATGTAATTTGCAATTTAATGATTGGAACACACAATTCAGCATTGTGCATTTCCAACAAAAATTATGTTGGATGGAATTAAATGTACTGTTGTTATTAGGTGAAATAACACAGAACAAAATATCAAAATTACAAAGTAATATCAAATTATGTTAAAGTATCAAAATTAAACTTTTACGGCCAAAATTTAGCGTACGGCAGCCAACGAAATAAAGAATTCAAGTTAAAATTACTACAAGTATTTTGCATTTAAAGGTTTCGTAATACAGTAAAGTTAAATAGACACCTTCTAGTGATGAAATGCACTATTTTGTATTGTTTTACTACCTTACACAAACATCTGTTACTTTTATATCTAGTGTTCGCGGCCAACGAAATAAAGAATTCAAGCTCAAATTACTACAAGTATTTTACATATAAATGTTTCGTAATACAGTACTGTTAAATAGGTACCCTCTAGTGATGAAATGCACTATTTTTTATTGTTTAACACGTTCGCTGCGGGCCATCAAACAGCAGGCGTAGCCCCAGTGCGGCGCAGCCCGCAGCGTCGAACAAACCTGATTGCCGGGTGATTGGCTCTCATATTTCGGTATGACGAATAGCAAATAACGTGCGGTGATGTCCTGTTTTATAACAAGAGTCGACGTAGTTCGCTAAACACTCACATATAGCAGCACTGCTTGGAACGTAGCCGGTCCCATCGTATTAACAATTGGAGGGAGAAAGACGGGACAAAAAGTTGATTTTTAAGTTTGCCAGACGGGGATTTTATGGGGAAATTTTACTACTAACCTACAACACAACAAAAAGCAAGTCACCCACTACACGCTAACGTGGAAACATTCTGCAAAGGGTCGTAAACAAACGCACGTGGCGCGCTCGCCCACCCCCATCCCGCCCCCCCTACTGATAACGCGACAAAAATAGAAACCAAGGTCACCTCGGTCATTCAACTGTGTCAACGCAGGTGGCTACAAAGTATTAGTTCGAAATATCAAACGGCTGAGCCACAGGAAAATATTGAAGTTCAGGAGGACCCAAGTATCCATATGGATACCGCCGCCTCTACGTGATGGACTCCAGGTATCCATATGGATACCGCCGCACCCAATGTGTTAACTACTGTACACGAACATCTGTTACATATTTAGCGTTCGCGGCCTAAGAAATAATGAATTCAAGTTCAAATAACTGCAAGTATTTTACATTTAAATTTGTCATAA